TGATGAATCAATCATTTGCTTTCTGAACATGTTCCACAGAATTCCCTCAGCCTTCAACATGCTGGCAGGCTTTCCCACCACAGAATTAGTTGGCTCTACAACTTTTGGGATAGTGAGCACCCCATGTATGGTTCCTGTCTGGAAGCAAATGGATTTAAACATTTGAACTTTTGTGGGATGATCTTTTTCAGCAAGCCTCAGACTTGGTGAGAGCCAGACTCAACAAAAAAGCGTTGGTGGGCAGAAGGTGGTTGAGGAGAAGGAATGGTGCATAGGGTTGGTGTATTGACATCAGTCAGCCTGATGTAGTCTAGAGAGGGCTTTTACAGGTTCAGCAGAGCCCCTGCCCTCACCTGAGCGGTTCAATGGAGAATCCCTGTGATGCTTAAATTGAACACACCTCACACATCTGTAAGATTGGCTGGTTTGCTTTGTTGTGTAAGGCCAGAACATCATCCAGGCTCCCTCTGTGGTGAGTGAAAAGACAAGCTATGGTTCAATCCAGGAGTTTATTTATCCGAGGTATTTGGGACAACTGGCTCAGATGGGATGGATAACTCTCACATAGTTGCTCATTCAGTCCTTTTGTCATTGAGGGATACTGGACAATAGCTTTTGCTGCCATAACTAGCTTTTGGATGGCTGAAGCTAGATAAAATGAATCCTACCTCTTGGTGCCCAGTTGCACCTCTGCAGCTCTCTCCCACTGTCTGAACATCCCATTCTCCAAGGTCCACTTCCACACATTATCCCCCATAGCTGTTGCATGAGGAAGGCTGCACCTTCACAGCCAGCAGTGGGAGAGGAAAATGCAGGGCACCCCAGTTCACAGGGTAAACCTTATTTGGCCTTTCCCATAGAGGATCCTTCTGCCAGGAACAGAGACCTCCCACAATATCTCCTTGTGCTTCACTAATTTTACTGGCAGAAAGCTGTTTCCTCAATTTTTCATAATTTTTTTGCTGCAGTTTAAACCAATCACTTCTCACTTTTTTCTCAAGAAACAGATTTTTTTTTCCTTTTGGGGCAGTTTTCAATACCTTTGGAGCCTATTTCTACACCCTTTCCTCAGTCTTCTCTGCCCTTGGTAAACTGCCCCAGCTCCCTGGTCTTCCCACGCTGGCGAATTTTTCCACACTCACACTAAGTTCCTGGTATTTGTGAGGCCACTGAAAACCAAGATTCATCCATCTCCACAAGCTGGTTGTCAGCATCCAACAGAAGAGCCTGAAGTCAGATTGAGAGCAGCCTCACAGAGAAGGACTTGGGGATAGCAGTGGGTGATGTGCACTCACAGCCTCCCCTTTGAGGAAAGGCTGAGAGAATTGGGGTTGCTCAGCCTGACAAATTCCAGGGAGACCTTATTGCAGCTTTTCAATATTTCAAGGAGACTTAAAAGAAAATGGAGACTCTTACCAGACCATGTCATAATCTGACAAGGGGGAATGGCCTCCAACTGACAGAGGGCAGGTTTGACTAGATATTAGGAAGAAATTCTTAACTATGAGGGTGATAAACCCTGACACAGATTGCCCAGAGAAGCCATGAATTTAATGCCCCATGCCTGGAAGTGTTCAAGGCCAGGCTGGATGGGGCTTGGAGCAATCCAGTCTAAGATGTCCCTGCCTATGGCAAGGGTTTGGAACTGTAAGATCTTTAAGGTCCCTTCCAACCTAAACCATTCTGTGATCCTCAGACCATGATTTGGACTTTAGAAAGGTGTCCCTGCTTTCCTAAAGACACACAACTCCAAATCCTGGTAGGGAAGTTCACTGGGGCAGGGGATCCCCAGCATCTCTGGAAATCACATCACACCAGCTTGAGTGCCAAAAACAGAGCTGGGGGAAGCTGAAGTCTGAACATTGGCCCAGTGTGTGGGTGCTTATGTATTGGCACAATAGAGAACACATTTCCCAAACGGAATAAATCATTTTTTTGCCAATAAGTTAATTGTTGAACACTGCCTCTCTTCAAATTATTCATGAACAGATGACAACTTTCTCTAATCATTAGTCCTAATTATTCACTCCATCTCTCCTATTAATAACATGCAGGCAGCAGATTGACAGTAAACAGCTCCATGCAATTATTTTGCTTAGTGAAGTTTGAAACAGAAGCAGTGCCAGGTATTTCTGATGGGGCACAGATTGCATGGCACATCCCTTCTTACCCACCACGTGGCTATGAAATCGTAGAACCGCATTTCTGGTGTGAATGCCCCCATTTGCAAAAGGAACAGGTGCCAAAAAGCTGCTGGTTCCCAGGCTCAAAGGCATTTGTTTGAATATCATTGAACAGTGAACACAAAGAAGGACCAAAGCAAATATATTTTACAGAGCTCAATAAATCACCAACCTCAGCTTTTCAGGAAACATCTTTCTCCAGGTCCATACTGTATCTGTATATTGACAATGAGAGAATTTCCCACCTGAAACTAGGAGTGATTTATTGCAAGGATATATGCAGAGAGTATCCAACATTTAATTAGCATGATGTCAATTAGCTACATCACATTGGTTTCCTCCATTCATACCATGATCTAAACATAATAAGGTACCTGAGCTGTATTTGCAGCCCTCTGCCTTTCTTTCCTTGTTACCTGGACGAGGATTCTGGACAACACCACACCATCAGTAAGTTGCTTAAAGCTTAATGGTTTTAAGGGCAATTGAGGTTGTAGTCCTGAGATTTCACCTTTAGCAGGAAATAGAAATAGGAATCTCCTTTACGCACAGAGACCTAAATTTAAAGCCTTAAGGCAAGCAAAAATTGACTGCTCCCAAGCATGCACTCATCCCCTAGAAGCAGCAGCTGCAGCATTAACTCAGGACAAAAATCCCTGCAAGAGGAAATGTATTGACTTCTGATGGGGAGAGCTCCTGTCTTGGTTTTAAATTCACTCAAGATGCAGAGTTTATTCAATTATCAGCTGTCTTTAAACTGGAATGTGGCTTCACTCCAAATATCAGCTGGGCAGGGGAGATGATGACAACCAGGTTAACCCTTTGTTTACCTTCCAGCTAGACTGAGGGTGGGCAGCAGGATGGCACTGAGCAATTTGGCATACATCCACCTTGCATCTCCAAGGTTAAAGCTTTTGACTCAGTCCCTCACACACAGAAAGGGATTTGACACTGGCTATGCCTAGGAGGACAGGTGGGAAAAAAAATCCATGTGGTGTGGTACCCAGTGGGAGGATGCTCTGTTCACAAGCCCCTTTTTGTAAGGAGACCCCATGCAGTACAAAGGACTCTCTGTCCTCAGGGGAGACCCAGAGCTGTAAAAACAAAGAGAGACACCGGGAAAGCGTCTGGTTCATTATTCCCCTTTGAAAACCCCTGAAGCTTTTTAAAGGAAGTCTCTGGCTATGAGGGGAGTGTGGATTAAGACTGAGATTCATTGGAAGAGGCAAAGGGGAGAGCTGGCAAGATTTAAATCCTCCCCAAATGCCTTGGGAAGCATGGAGGGTTTTGGGCTGGCAGCCGGGCCCACATGCCAGCAGATGGGGCTCCTGGGAGAGGTCAGAGCTGCAGCAGTATAGAACACTTTGCTCCTCTAGGATGCATCTGAGAAGCACCACTTCCCTAAAGCAGAGGTTACTTTAATGCCACTGGTTTTATGGGGCTGTAGAGCCATAAACACCTGTGGCTCTGGAGAGCAGCAAGAAGCTGTACAGAAAGCAAGCACCAACCAGTACAGTTTTTTGAGTGCTGCTCAAAGTCTATATTCAGCCATAAATACAAATTCTGCTAGAGCAGGAAGGTTAAACTCTATTTGGGATATTAAAGCCCAGACCTGCTGGTTTCTGGGAATCCCTTCTGTGTTACACTGGGTGGTGGTGGAACAGCAGGCCAGAGGCCTTACATACTGAACCCTAACTTGAGCCAACAGAAGCCATAAGAAAGCTGACAGCTCTTTGTGAGAACAGAGTCCTGCAGCAGTGAAAAATAACATGTTTTCCTTGAGAAAAACTCTAGGACTGTGGAAAACAACCTGCTTTTCCTGAGAAAGAACTCTAGGACTGTGAAAAACACTAGGCACCTGTATAAACTGTTTTTACACTGTTAGGTAGGAGAATGAAAACAGTATGTCACAAACAACTCTCTCTGCATGTACACACAGGGGGATTGAGTGACCGATCAATACAGGGTAACAACTTGTTACTGATCAACTGGAGATAGACAGGGGATGTTCTTCTGAAACTCTATATGAAGAGATGTATGAACAAACTGGGATCTTCTTTTTTGCTCCATAAAAAAATGTGTCCTGCATCTTTCTTTAGTGAGACCCACAGTGACACACTGTTCTGAATTGAAGCTCCAGCACCATCCTTGCCTCTTGCTGCTGGCTGGGATGCTCCTGCAGAGCAAGATTTGCTCTCGAGGGAGCCGGGGAGCAGAGCCCTTCCCGGCAGCAGGCAGAGATGGGAAGCTGCATGTGTCCTCTGTGAGAAGGACGGTAAATGGCCTCTTGCCTTTGTCATTACCTCGCAGAGATGAGTCTGGGAAGCAGCAGGCTGCTACAACCGGGTACGGAGCATCTTCACTTGGGCTGAGTTTGCCCTCTGATGGCAAGCGCTGGTACTGAGAAGAAGCAGCTCTCAAAACCTTGTCTTCCCTACTCCAGCTATCGCCCGATGCTAAAGCAGCATGTAAGAGTGTTGCTGCCATGAAGGCATCCTCAGCTCCTGGGCTGAAGTCCTTCCCAATGAGGGAAGCTTCTGCTTGGCCATGACAGCCTAAATTGTGCCCTGCCTTACACAGGGCTGGGGGGGCAAAGGCCAACTGAGGCAATGCAGGGTTGCTACAGCAACTCAAAAGGGGTAGCAAGGCCACAGAAATTTTTTTTATGGACTAGTTTAAAAAAGAAGCAGAAAACCAAAGGAAAATAAACTCCTGTGAAGACAGGCTGGGAGAACTGGGAGTGTTCAGCCTGAAGAAGACTTCAGAAAGACCCTAGGGTCTAGAGGGGTTCCAGGAGAACTGGAGAGGGACTTCGGAAAAGAGCCTGGAGTGGCAGGACAAGGGGGAATGGCTTCACACTGACAAAGGGCAGATTTAAATGGGATATTAGGAGGAAATTCTTCTCTATGAGGATGGTGACACACTAGAACAGGTTGCCCAGAAAATCTGTGGTTGCCCAGTCCCTGGAAGTGTTCAAGGCCAGGCTGGACAAGGCTTGGAGGAACCTGGGCTAATAAAAGTTGTCCGTACCTATAGCAGGGCGTTAGAACTAGATAATCTTTAAGGTCCCCTTCAGCCCAAACCATTCTAAGATTCTATGATTTTCTCCCAGCCATCTACAGCTTACCACAAACCAAGAGCTGACTCTTTTGGGGGGATTCTTGCAGCACTAACCCCTGTCACCTGCCATCCACCCAGCCAAGCAAAGAGACAGCAGGCAGTGGACGCAGCCAAGGAGCTGAGGGCTGCCCCATGCAGGGGCCAAGCCAGGAGCCCAGGGTAACCCCAGCACAGCAGGGCACTCCTCAAAAAGGGTCCAGTCTGAGCAAGCAGGGAGGGCAGGATTCTGGTAACAGGGTCCACCAGCTCTCAGACACAGCAGAAGAGTCAGGTCCTAGGCCCATCCAGAGGCAGCAGCAGAGGAGACAGGACTGGAAACCAGCTACCAACAGCAGAGGCACCAGGTCCCATCCATTGAGAGGGTCAGGCGTCATCACCCTACATCCTAAGGAGGACAGAAGTCCCAGGATTACCTTAAATACAGTGCCTGGGCCAACTGCCAGAGAATGTGTGTGTGGAGGTCCCAGATGAGGCTGCTCAAGGCAAGCAACACTTCTTGTGCCTGCAAGGTCCTGACACCTGGCATGATGCTGCCTCTCTTCTATTTCTCTGTTGAAAGAGAAGAGCTGTGGCTGCCCCAAGCCTGCAAGTGCTCAAGGCCAGATTGGATGGAGCTGGGAGCAACCTGGTCTAGTGGAAGTTGTCCCTGTCCATAAAAAGGGGGACTGGATGGTCATTAAAGTCCCTTCCAACACAAACAATTCTGTGGTTCTATGACTTTTGCTTTCCATAATAATAAAGGAGGGAGCTTTCAGAGATAGCAGCACATGCTCATGTTCAAAGACCCAAATGCACTAAATAGACTTGTTCCATACTGTAAGGGCACATAACTACATCATTGCTATCATATTTTGTGGGAGAGAAATCAGCCTAGACAGAGATAAGATACTAAATCATCTGTATGAAAATGATTATTATAGTTAGACAAGAAGGTAATTAGGTTGTGGTTGCATTTAGACATGGTGTATGAGCTGAGTGGGAGTGACAAGAGGGGCTGAGTTTGGCCAGGTTTAGGGGTGTCAATGGGAGCAGGTAAGGAACAGCTGAGCCTTGCTGCTGCACCGCATGAGAAGCAGAGAGCTTGGCAGAGCTTCAGCATCCCAAGACAAACCTGGGGCTGCACAAGCTGAGTCTGGGTCAAGCCTGTGTGTGTCAGAAACCATCTCTATCCACGCTTATACTGAGCAGAGGGTTTAGTTAATATTTGCCTAGAAAACCTACTCCTAATAGGAGGTCAAACACTCTTGGAGCAAAAGGATGTGCCATAAGGGAACCTTCACTCTGCCCCCGGCCACATCTGTTACAGTGTGGTGTCTAATAATAAGATGGTATCATCATTTTTACCTGTGTAAAGGGAATTCCCTAATTTTGAGCAGTGCATCAGGTATTTCTGCTGCTGTAGGTCAGGCTCCTCTGTAGCTTTGCTTCAGTGCACACATATTAAAACCGCAGTTCCATGGACATTTCTCTTCAGGTCTCTGTAGAGCCTAGAAACTTTGAAGACAGTATTTCAGTATTACAGAAGAATCACCAAATTATTTTAACCTCATTTTAGTTCAATCAAGTGAAAATTTCTCCTCAGAAGACCAAAATGATGTAATTGTTTGCAGTGCAAAGGTGACACTTCTACCGTATACCTCTTGCCTTTTTTTTTTTTGCTTTAAAACAGCTGACCTTTTCAAACACAGAAATAAATTTAAATATTTTATTTTTGCTGATTCTTGGCTTCTGAAAGGGGTTAAACCATTTTTGCTTAAAGTCCCTATATCAGCTTGAAGCTAGCCTAAGGCTGAGGCATCAAATTTCATCTTGCAAGTAGCAAAGGTGGTGTTATAAAGCATTGGAAAAAATCTTTAAGAACTCTGTATAATCTTAAATAGAGCACATGTCTCTAAGCATCCTCCGTCCTAGCACTACTTGCTTTTGCACTACTAAACTAGAAATTTTAAAAACAACCAACCAGCTCAGTCCTCCACAGCTCCTGCTCTTCTCATATCCCAAGCAGCCTGAGTTAACCTAAATTGTATATTTTAACAATAAAATAATCTTTTAGAGTCAAGTTTCAGGTGGCGACCAGACACATACCTGAGTTTCTATATGACCTCTGAACTAATTGTATCAAAGCATGTACCAAAGCTGTATCAAAGCATGGTCACTAAGCGCATCATGCCCCCTCCTCAATGCTCTTTGCTGTGGAGGAGATGTCTGCTGTGGGCAGGAAGCACTGAGCTGTGTTCCTCCATCCCCTCCATATCCCCATGTCTCTGTGCCTGGCTGCAGGAATTGAAATTCAGAGATGTGTCCTGGTTTCTCCCAGTAAACTGGGGAAGGAGACATATGATGGGTAGGAACTCGGTCTCCTGAATGGCTTTGCTGCAGGTTCACTCCAGAAGTTGCTGACAGCCTAATTTTCAGATTTATGGAGCATTAAGAATTCCCATTGACTCTGTAACCAGGTGATGAATCTGTCTACGCTTCATTTTTCTCAGCTATAAAATGGAAGAAATGGCATTTCTATCACCGACTAGCTGAGAGGTTAATGCAATGATTATTAATAAAGTTCCCTAATAACCTCCAAAGAAGCAATTCCCAAGCCAGGGTGGCAGCCCCTAGCAGGGTTTGCTGAGCTCCTGAATGGACTAACGGACTCAGTGGAAATTAGGTGGCAGCAGCAGGCTCAGAAACGGAAGTAGAAGCAATTTTCCTAATGAGTCATCAACAATCCAGAGCCTGGAGCCTGGGAGGTGACTGTCACTTCCCCCAGACACACAGCCCATGGATCACTCTGTGTGGAAGAAATCTCAGTCTCCCTGCAAGATGATCCATGCAGAGTATCCTTAATGATTTCCATGGCTGTGCTGCGACTTGGACACCATGGCTGCAGCTGCTTGTTGAGCAGGTAAATGGAGCTGCAGCTGCAAATGTCACAAACTCGGAGGTTGTATTAAGTAGGGTTTGTGTACCCAAAAGAGCAGAATCTTACAAAGCTATTAAAGTTGATTCATCTATAGACAGTACTTGGCTTCTCCTTCCTTTAATGCCATGGTAGTGTGTCTTCTCTCTTTGCACAGGATCAGAACTGATACTTTGCTGGGACATTGTCAGTGACTGGCTTGAGAGGCTAAAAAGTACAGAAAAGAGAGCAGATTCCTCTAGTCAGTCTTACAAAAGGTACATCTGTCTGAAATACCAGTTTCTTTGTGTAAAATAACCACTAAGGACTATAGCTGGAGACAGCTTATCCCAAAGAAACTGATTTGTTTTTGGCCTAAGTTGCAGGCTACTTGGGAATAGGTGATGTTTGCTTTCCATGCTTGATTCACACACCTCTGAAGGCAGGCAGACCTATGTCCATTAAGACTAAGTGAGGAAACACAGGCAATCCTCTGAAGCAGGACCTATGAAGAGTGTGCTACATGAGGGTGCAGGTGTCCCCACACCAAGACTTTCCCCTCTGTCCTGAGCCCATTGTGAATTGCGCTGCAGTGCAGGATTCTGGCCCGCAGGCAGTGCAAAGGCACACTGCTGACTGGAGGAGACAGAGAAACCTCTCACAGCTGATCTATCCTGTTTCACTCTTCTACCCTGGCCACTGAGAGTAATCACAGTCTTGTTGATATCTGGACTAAATCAAACTATTTCTTAGAGCTCATCTTGTGCTAACAAGAAGATAACTGGCACATCACTGTTCCAGCTGCAGTGAACTTTAAAACTGGAAGACTTTTTCCATGTCCTTTTTCCTGATACAACACAGAGGTATCTTCAGTAAGTGGCATCTAACCTTCCCTTAGGCTGCATACATGGATTGTAGATCTGGTAATGCAAGGTAACCCCCAGGAAAGAAGTGTCTCCAGGAGCCAGAGTCTGCTCCTGATGCACCTGGGCAGTGGAAAGAAGATATTCACTCAGAGGATCTCCAAGAGCTCATAATGGTATCCTAAAGCTCAGGAACCAGGGAGATCTTCCCAAGTGCTGGGAGTCACACTCATTGCCAGGGCTGTGGGTGGAGGGGATGTTGTGAAGGCCAGTTATGCACAGGCATAAGTGCTCATATATTTGATCTTTAACAGCTTTTGCCTGTGTAATTTTATCCTCTCTGGAGCAGTCAGTAATGGCAACAGCAAGACTTTTCAAGGATCAGCCAGTATTTCAGTGTGAAGCATGGGGCTGTGCTATTGCCAGTACTACTGCTTACTAGTTCTGAAAGTCTATTGTAGGCACTCATCCATAAAGTTTTTTATCCCTCTGGAAGAGAAGGAAATGAGAGTTCCCTTTCTCTTAGCAATAGAAAATAAGATGCACACAGACACTAACAGCCAGGCTGAAAGAAAGCTCTAAATAACCGCAGTTCTCTTTTGCTTCCACTGCAAACAAGGGGAATCACTACACTTCAATGACTTTATGGAGATAGTATTGAGACCTGCCAGGCAGAAAGCTATTTACAGAAAGCAGGGGAACCCAAAGGCTTTAAAAAAAATACTCCAAACCCAAAAGAAAACACCAAAAAGAGCCCCCAAAACTATATTAAAAATGTTTTTGACAACAGCAGCAAAGAGTTAAATCATGGGAGTGACTCTAATGGCAGATGTCAGCTTGTAAAGGTGAGACTGCTGACCTGGATCTCACAGGGACTCTAACTTTGAATTTCCTGGCTTGAATTGAATTCCTCAGAGACATTTTGGGTTTTGCTGACTGCTTCAGTGATTTTTCCCAACAGGAGGGGTAAACCTACAGATGCAAATACCCAATGGTATTCCAGCACCTCTGAGAGGGGAGGTCAGGAGGAGCACTCCAGAGCTCTACCCCTTCAGCTGCACCTCCAGCTGATTCAGAACTGTGTTTTGCCGTGCTGCCTCTGGGACATTTGTCATCCAGCATCCCTGCCAGCCTGCTGCATGCCTGGGAGGTCTCCTCACCAATACTGCCTACCTGAAGCACCCTTTTCTCTCTCTCAGACCAGTTTTACCAGCTCCCAAACTGGTTTTACAGCTCACTCTGCTGTCCCTGCTGGGAGGAGTGCTGCAGTGCTGATCTTTTTGGGCGTTTTCCCACACGTGGGTTTAGGATTACCCTCCTCAGGGAATGCCCTAGTGTTTCACCAGCTGCCTCCTCCACTCTGGACAAGTAAAGCTGACTGCAGAAAATACAGTTACTCAATGCAAAGGAGGCAATATGTTTCCATAGCCTGTTGAAAGAGAAATTAAAGGGAACAGCAGCTATCTCTCCACAGGACTTCTGGCCAAGCCAAGGAGTTGACAAGTGCTGTGTTTCATGAACTTTTCAGTTTGGCTTGCAAAAGGCTGGGTCTGGGGACAACATTTCTCCTAACACCCAAAACATCTTTGGGGCATCCTTTATCAACACTTAACTCATTAACTTGTGTAGAAACTGGTCTGCCCTTGCTCTGTAAAACTCAGGCCTGCTGTTGGGCAACAGGAACCCAACAGGCTGTGGTCCTCACCATTGGGATTCCCACCCACCCAGGCAGCAGAGAGCTGGCACATACCTGGGAAAAACTGTTCACTCATCACCAGACACCTTTCACAGAATCACAGAATCATTTAGGTTGGAAAATACCTCCAAGATCATCTAGTCCAACCTGTGACTGATCACCACCTTGTCACCCAGACTAGAGCACTGAGTGCCATGTCCAGTCATTTCATGAACAGCTCCAGGGATGGGGACTCCAGCACGTCCCTGGGCAGCCTGTTCTAATGCCTAACAACCTTTTTCATAAAGAAATTCTTCCTGATGTCCAGCCTTAACCTACTCTGACCTGAGGTTGTGGCCATTTCCTCTTCTCCTGTCACTTGTTACCTGAGAGCAGAGCCTCATGCCCACCTGGCTACACCCTCCTATCAGGGAGTTTTAGAGTGATAAAGTCCCCCCTGAGCCTCCTTTTCTTCAGCATGAGCCCCCACAGCTCCCTCAGCTGCTCCTCAGAGGACTTGTCCTCCAGCCCCTTTCCCAGCCCTGTTGCCCTTCTCTGGAGCCACTTCAGCCCCTCAAAGTCTTTCTTGCAGTCAGAGGCCCAGAACTAGACAGGGTACTTGAGGTGAGGGTGCTGCCACCTCAGGTCCTCCTCCATAGGCCACTTCTCCTCCAGTCTGTTGCATTGCCTGGGATTCTTGTGACCCAAGTGCAGACTGGGCACTTGTTGAACCTCACACAATGGGCCTCGGTCTGTGGATCCATTTCTTCATGTGGGGCTGCATGGCACAGGATAAAGCTCAGCATGCTTAGAGCTGCCTTTTGGGGCACTTATCTAAGGTGAAGAACCTCCTGTGAGAGACACATCAGCCCCACCCTTCAGAGGATCTCTCTGTGGTGCCGGGGGCTGAGGGAGTGCAAGGAGTGCCTCTGAGTGACAGCCTGGCACATTTCCCTCTGAGGCCTGGCTGCCCTCCCTCCCCTCAGTGTTCTGAGGGAGATCACAGAATCACAGACTCAGTTAGGTTGGAAAGGACCCATGAGGTCATTGAGCCCAACTTATGATTCAAAACCACCTTGTCAACCACACCATGGCACCGAGTACCATGCACCACGTGCAGTCTTTCCTTAAACACCTCCAAGAGCAGCTGAGGGGCTTGTTCATGCTCAGAGTTCCCCTGCCCTTGCCCCCGGGACCCCCCCCCCCCCCCCCCCCTTTTTTTTTTTTTTCTCTGAAGGAACTTTATTTTCCCCTGCGCGCACGGGGATGCGCTGAGGCCGCTCCGCCCGGCCCGGCCCGGCCTCGGCATGTCGGGCAGCCGCCCGCCGCACCCCGCCGTGCCGCCCGCCGCCACACCGGCCTCATCCTCCTCCTCTAAGGACAGCGACTCCACCACCTCCCTGGGCAGCCCATTCCAATACATAATCACCCTTTAGCATGAAAAAATTCCTCCCTATGTCCAGCCTGAACCTCCCCTGGCACAGTCTGAGATTATGTCCAATCTATCGCTGCTTACCTAGGAGTAGATTCCCACCCTCACCTGGCCACAACCTCTTGTAATGTAAGGTAGTCGCAGGGAGCGAGAAGGTTCCCCTGAGCCTGCTGAGCCCCCCCAGCTCCCTCGGCCGCTCCTCAACAGACTTGTGCCTCAGGACTGTGCACCAGCAGATGTAGTGTCAGGGTGAGCAGCTGCAAGCGCGGCTGGAAGCTTCTGGCCCACGCTAGAGGCCAGGGCTACAAGAAGAAAACCCCAGCCCCCAGCAGCCCCGGCTGCTGCCGCTCCGTGAGGAGAGCCCGGCCCGGCCTCATCATCCTCCTCCTCCTCCTCTTCGGCGGCCATGGCCCCCGGCTCGTCCTCCTCGGGCGGCGCAGCGGCGCGGCCCGTGCTGGTGGCGGCCGCCGTGTCGGGGTCGGGCGCGGGAGGAGAGCCCGGCCCGGCCCGCCCCGCCCCGCCCCTCAGGGCGCGACTCCGCCCCGCGCACGCGCGGCCGCGCTGTCCGCCTGTCAATAAAGCTTGAACAAGCGCCGCGCTGGGGCCGCCGTTTTGGTTTGGTTTTTTTTTTTATTGTGGGATTTTCTCATTTTTCTT